TCACACTAAGTGACACGGCCTCTTCCTGCGATAACTTGACAGGACCCTCTTGAAAGAGTCAGTGAGGCATTCCTGGCTTGTTTCAGGTGGCGCAACGAAAGACAGAGTGCACAGAACATTGTTATACCATTGGGAAAATATTGAGAATAGAAATCAGTGAACACAACATAAAAGTGATTGAAGACCTCATAATAAAGAATGGGAGCACGAAAGCAGCAAAAAGTTAATTTATGAATTGTAAATCACAATTGGTAGCCCCTTCGAGAGCAAAATGGAACCATAACAAATGATAGAGACAAAATCATAAAACCAGTGGAGGAATTTGATGCAGGTCTCTATAGCAAATACAAAATAAATATCATAAACCCCAAGAAAATTTTTATTTTCAAATGAGGAGGATAATATTTTGGATATTATGTTTGAAGAAGTAACCACTGAATTTTGCAGTTTCAAAAATAGGAAACATTACAGACCAGATAGAATAAATGTGGAAATCTTCAATGACCTGGTATCAGCTGTTGAAAAACATTGAACACTCGTATTTACGAAATGCTTACATAGAAATAAAATTCGTAAATTGTGGAATGATAGAGAATCTATGAATACTCATAAATGGAGAAAGTTTTAATGGTCTCAGATTTGCTTCATGACTTTTTATAACAACCAATGAACAACATTACAACAACCAATGAAAATTTACCGCAGGAAATAACTGAAGAGTTGTACAAAGAAGAAGCCAAATTTGGGTTAACAGAACAACAGACACATACAAGAATTACATTTTGATTTAAAGCTTTCGTGACTGCAGTGATTCATATTCTTGCTTCTTTCGGTAAAGTCACGTTGAAGGGAAGCAATATTTATTTTATTATTTTATTGTTTCCCTTCAACGTGACTTTACCGAAAGAACCAAGAATATACATACAAGAATTGTTCAAAACCAAAACAATATTAAGGGGACATATCCGGAAAACATGTCACAATATGTATGCCTACTATGGTACTTACTGAATCGAAGGTGGGCTGGAATAAACATAATAACATATAGAGGCAAATGAGAGCAGGTTCTAATTTGCATGATGAAAATTGGATACCGAGAGTAATGTGAAGTGAAGCCATTACTCCTACTACAGTGTTAAAGATATTCATGATATTCCACAAACAGTAGCATTACAGTGTGAAACTAAAGAGTGTAAGATACATTCAATTTGATCACCCATGGTGGTTAGTGTAATTTTGGTCACCCAAGTCACTCTTGCAAATTAGACAAACCTGTTTTTTTGAGTTCCTCACCTGGTTAAGAAATGAAAACTTGAACTTGAGCAATCAAAATAATTAGTCTTATACTTCTTTACACTGTAATGCATGTCAACTAAAAGAGAGAAACTACAACGACTAAAATAATAAACATTGATTTCAGAAGTAAAAAGATTCAGGTCAATTTTTTAAGTTCTAAGATTGCAAGGAGTCAGTGCAGCCCAATGTAGGGAAATAATAATGAGAATATGAACACACATTAACGTAGCTCTGTGTTATTCAAGCACCGACGTCAAAACAAAGCTAAATTTAACATCTAATTTATAAGTGATTTGCAGTTAATTGCTGGTGCTTAATTTGGATATGACAACAGTACACCTTGGCTCTATGGCAATGTGAAAATCTCTGGAATCATAAATAATAATAAACATTAAGTTGAAAGACCAAGGCCAATTTCTCTTTCAAGGACGACACTTTCCATTAAATATCCTTTACACCCAGGTAGCTGGAGATAGGTGTTCACACATGTGATTGGCCTTAATAATACAGTAATACGCAGACTCATCATATTATTTATGAATGTCCTTCTAAACAAGAAAAACATTCAGCTGTAATGCATTAACTATCATTGTGGGGTTATTTCTTACTGTTATCAGTGGCAGTTTATTAATTATTATTTTAATGTGTTTTTTTATTGAATAATGTTTGCTTGAAACTGCATGGTGGGGGACTTGGGAGGGAGGGGGTTCACCTTCACAGTGCAATTCTCATTTTTTAAGAAAGAGTTCTGTGTCATAATTCGCCGTGGAACATTTATATACAAGTGCCTGCACAGCTTTGTAAGTGAAGCACTCATAGGCACAGTCACCCCAAAACTACGCCCATTGAAGTTAATTTACAGGAATACCTAACCTCAACTCCGGAAATGCCTAAACCTGTTCTTCAAATGTTGACCTTAACAGTACTCCAATTGGACTTCCAATACTGACCCCTTGCTATGTATATAGGCCAGACCTGTCTTTATTTTAAAGGATAACTAAATTGCTGTGTGGTCATTACTTAGCAATTGAGGAATAATAATCCATCTGGAAATATCCAGGCAGTTGGGAAAAAAGTAATTGTTATTCGTGGAAATTAAATTAAATGTATACGATTAAACACAGTCATTTATTAGATGTAAGAAGTCATCTTCAGCATGGGGCATGATTTATGTAGAGTTGATTTTCACACTTTTGTAGAATTCAGCCATCAGCTGGAAATTCTAAAGCCCCATTTTGCACTGAACCCCATAGCCAAGCAGCATCTGGACAAGTGCAGACAGGAATCACAGGCTAATGTGTATGACGAATGTATGTTGAACGTCTTTCACACCTTATGTCGACAACTGTGCTAATCGTGCGTGGCTTAGTGCTACTTAATAACAATGATGACAATAACAACAATGATGAGGATAATGATGATGGAGTTGAATATAATTATATGATAACAGTAATGATAATTATAACTGTTATAATGGTTCGAAACATAACTATGATATTACGATTATAATAAATGTTGATTAATGATAATGGGTGGAAATTATTATGAATATAATGATGCTGTTGCTGCTAAAACTGATGATGATCCACCAACCCTGAATATATTAACCCACACCAACCCCTATCGTGTGATGAACCACTAGCCACCAACCATTACCTCCAAAGTGCACACTAAAAAAGGCACCCAATTAAGATTTAGTTACCTCTGATGTTTCAGATGATGTTGGGCCATCAGTGGAGACGGCCAGGAGAAAATAACTAGGAGACAATAGCCAGAAGAAGACAGTGCAGTGCATTGTTTAATCGGTGTTGATATTTTAGTGTTATCCCTTCTCAGTATCGGCTCTCTACATACTCCAGTTTCCTCCCACACTCCAAAGACTCTAAAAACATTGGTCTTAGGGCTCACTACCTCTTCGACATTCTTTATCTTAATTTTAATCATCATCATCAGCAGCAGCCGGAGCATTGTCAGCATCAAGCACACGTGAATTTACGTGGAATGAACTGCCATTCCCTCTCAGCACTCCTTGCACAAAGCCATCATTGGCCCGAACCTAACATTGCCCGTTTTGGGCCATTCTGCAATTGTGCCAAGCGTAGTGGTGTGAAATCCGTTACACATGCACCGAAAAATGCAGAATTTACCACGTAAAAAAGCGGCTGTCCTTTCCACACACACAAAAAAATCAGGACGCCAGAAATCTGGATCCATGGTTTCAAAACCTCAACTGTGCCACCCCCCTGCAATTCTGTGATGCTGGTGTTCACCTTTGTATGACAGTGACATAGCGCTGCAGTATTAACAAGGTACAGTGGTTTCACAATCTTGAAAAAAATGTTGCACAAGGGAGCACACGTGATACGTGATTGAAGGTAGTTTTATTTCAGCATAAAACATGTGCTTCTTGGCAGTGTCTTAGAAATTGTGAGATGAGATATGATGGGATGATCACTTTGGCCATGATTCCCAGTGCTGATCTATAGAACCTGACTAGCTGTTGACGTGGCCTGGTTTCACAACCATGGCTTGATAATTGTTGAGATGGCACTTGGCATGATGCTGTGTATGGCACTGGCTCAGACTATTTAAGTATTCGTTGTAAATTGTGAAAGCATCATGAAATGTTAGCAAATAATAGTGCCATAACGTTAATAACATCTTTGCCTTTGGTATTGTGAAAGAGTAACTGACATAAATTATCACGTTTAATTTTCGATTTAAAGCTTTCGTGACTGCAAGGATTCATCTTCTTTGGTTCTTTCGGTAAAGTCACGTAGAATGACGTTTCGGCCACTTGTGTTGTGGCCAAAACGTCGTGAGAATTTTATTGTTTTAAGAAGATGATATCACGTTTAAATTAACTGGTTTATTTATGTTATTTATATAGCAAAAAAAAACTTAATTTAAGAATCTCTTACACATGTTAAGACTCTCTTACACATATTAAGAATCTCTTACACATATTAAGACTCTCTTACACATATTAAGAATCTCTTACACATATTAAGAATAGCTTATACATATTAAGAATATCTTACAGATATTTAACAAGTTATCAACTTTCTATAACAGCAACATCTCATTTACAGCACTTGGAAAATAGAATTAGTTGTTCATTGAGCCAGCGTCCGGGGTATAGGAACCCTTTACTGTCTTTCCACAACATGAAATATCAGCCATGCGTGACTTCATCGTCATTCTTTGGGCCATATAAGACATTTATGGCTTGTCCTTCATAGGTGGTCTTTCAAGATGTGTAAACACAGTCTAGCCAGGCCTGACACCATTACTTGTGCTGAAAAACTTGAGTGTCACAAAGTATCAAACTTTTCAAAATGTTGCCTCTGAATGCTCAAATCGCAGTCAATCTCTCGCGACTGGCAAACGAATGACACTGTGTCTGTACTGTGATGCAGCTTGGAGACCTTAAGCAGAGATGTCATTTGAGAGATCAGTGAAGTGTGCCATTCTGGCTTCCAGCATGTGTGAATTCAACACTTAGTGCATGTGTATGGTGTGAAATCTTCTATCTATTTTTTTGATTTGCAGCTAAATGGAGGTTTGCCTCTGTCCACCTCTGTCTTGCTGTGTGCCCTTCCATCCTTATGTCCATCATGTCTCTTTAATCTATCTCACTCTCTCATTTTCTCACCCTCACTCATGATGCCTCCACCTCTCTCTCTCTCTCTCCCCATGTGCAGCTGAACCCAGGAGTCAACACTTTCCAGCGCAGATTTGTGAACGATGTGCGGCGATGTGACGAGATGGAACGCAAGCTCCGTGAGTGCTTGCACTTCTACAGTTTTGTTTACATTTGAGATTTTTCTGCACTTCTGAATATTGCACTCGACCCATGCTTCTCTGCAGAAAACAACCTCATGTCACAAGGTTTATTTGTTGTAATCAGTTTCAAGGGCCAGAATAGAGGTTGCAAATGGGGCTCTCTTCGAATATATTATTCAAGCTCCTGGGAGGTGTGCGCCGAGCAATGACAAGCGATACTTCTTAAATGTAATGTCTGACTCCGTGAAAAGTGCATGATCAGCATTTATAATGCACAGAAGTTTGCAAAAAGGACAAGGGAATTAAAATTACTTGGGCAAGGAATAATTTCTTGGCCGCTCTTAACTACAGGAGCTTGTTTAATAATGCACGTATGTAAAAATATATATACTATGGGGATTAAATACTCATGAAATGGAGGACAAAATTCACGTTAAAAGGTCAAATGATTTTATTTCTTTAGCAATTGTTAATGCAACACAGTGTTATGTATTACTTTAAATTGTTTCAAAGTGCTGTGTCTATCTATACTGTATTATAATGTATTTTTTATAATACTATGGCCAGATTACTTTGATCATTGTTAAAATAAAAAAAAATGGCTTTGTAAAGACAAATCAAGTTATATCAAAAGGTATCGGATGACCAAACTCGTTTTAGGACATTTCTCTTTCGTTCAATAGCTTTTGTTATTTGTAGGAGTCGATAGAAGTCCATAAAAGTCATTGAGGCAATCTCGGCGTGATGACAAGACTGCGGCACATTTCACAAGGCACTATACAAAACATATTCCAGGCTAAATGGTGTGAACACATAAAGAGTTTTTATGCAAGGGGCAACACATATTTCGTCCTATCATGGACAGGTGCTGTCAGACAGTTAAACAGCATATTGGAATTGATAGGGAGCATTTTAGATTTTGGAAAGATTGTTCCAAACTTAAAGTGCTTCAAAAGGCAACCTTTGAATTGAATTGTTTTTTCGTTAGTGTTGTTCATGACTTGTGCTGCTCAGTGCTGGAGCTCTATTGTAATGGTTTTATACTGGTAGGAACCTCCTGGTTCCACCAGCCCACAGGGGATTATTGTGTCCGCCGTCGTGCATCCAAAAATGGGAGGGGTGGGGCTGGGTGGAGAGGGGAGGGTGGGGAGGGGCTGGGTGGGGAGGGGAGGGTGGGGAGGGGCTGGGTGGGGAGGGGAGGGTGGGGAAGGGCTGGGTGGGGAGGGGATGGGTGGGGAGGGTGGGGAGGGGCTGGGTTGGGAGGGTGGGGCTGTGTGGGGGGTGGGAGGAGTGGGGCTGGGTGGGGAGGGGCTGGTCACCCCGTGGTGCCCTTATAAAACTCAATGTTTCACCTACTCACGCCGGCTTGTGCCCGCCCTCACATTCGGGCATATTTGCGGTATACACCACGTGGTGCCGCCGCTGTTGACCCTGGCCATTGACCGAGCAACCCAACGTTCCTATCAGCTCCCTCCGCAGGAATGTGTTTTACAGAGTTCAGTGTCGAGTGCCCCTGAGACTTTTTGTGCAGGTTACTCAAATATGGCAAACACTAATTGTCATGGGAGTCTGTGCTTCGTGTTCATGTGATAAGCATGTGGACGCCTGGAGCCTACTACTGAATGCCTTTGAGTATGACAATTAAAAGTTACAGCACAATGTCTGACATGTAGGGCCACAGCAACCAAGCAACACACAGCAGGTGGTTGCTGTGGTAGAACAATGAAATGTCACAAGTAATTTACATTACAAAAATACAATTTTACCTTAAACCAAACTATTGCACTATGTATTGCCGAAATAAAACAGATGTACAGTTCCAATCGTAAACACAACAGCACACACCCCTGGGAGTTATAATCCCATGTAAATTCATATTGACATACATTTTCGTTTTAGTTCTGTGTGGATGCAGCACAGATTATATTCCTTTCGAATATTAATCCTCTAGCAGGCTAAACAAGCTAAATCCTCTATCTCAAAATACCTGTTATTGTTCCATGGTGACAAGGCAAATTCTAAATCGATTGTGAAAGATGGCATTTGGGAGTTATATTTGAAGATGCAGATACCAGTCGATATTAATTTTAAGCAGTGGGTGGAAACGTTGGTTCGGATGGTTATGCAAATGCCATCTGCTTAAATCTGTACAGAGCTGTAAATTCATGCTGATGAATGCAAATCTATGAGGAGTTGAATGATTCAGATCTTATCGTGTTTTATTTGAAGATCGTGTCATGAATAAATAAATGTCTCATTTCATGGTCCAATTACACAAGAACCATACTTGCTGACAAAATGTAAATATACTGTATATGAATAAAGTGTTTGATATGCGTATAGTAAACCCCCTCTTAACGACCACCCCTGTTAACGACGAATCGCTTCACGACGGGCCTCGATAGAGCTCAATGTGTTCGCTTACCGACCATTCCCCTGTTAACGACGGGCTTACGACGAGAACGCGACCGCTAATTTAGGTCCAATCGGCGAGCTCCAAAGTGGTCTGACCAAGCCTTGGCCAATCAGCGATGTCCATTCATGAGCATTTGGGGGCATTATTTACATTCAGTGTCTGCAGGGCTTTGAAGTGGAAACATCTCTTTTGAATTCTTGGTGTATTTTGACTTCAAACTTTAGTTAAATCAATAATTATGCATATCTGGCAACCCATACGGTTTAACTGTATTCTTGTACAGGGAAATTGAGTTCTCAGGTCGATAGGGCGTACAGCCGTTTCAATACGAGCAAAAAAAATGTCTGTTTCTCCCTTGTGATGGCACTTTGAAGGGTGAACGTTGAGATTTATAAGGGCACGGGGTGACCAATAAAGTCTAAATTGGTCTGTAATAAGGTAGGCACTGATAAGGGGTTAGCAGGTTTGATTACGGCTCCAACAGTGCTTGCGAATTAAAACAAGAAAGTCTCTCATTCCAAAAAAATATACATTTTCTCCTCTCGACTTAAGCCAGCTATCGTTTCATCATAAGAATCTATTTTTGTTGTAGGTACAGTAAATATTAATTAATGCATTGATTAACCATGTTTCTTTTAACATTATGCGTTTATAATGTTAGTATTTTATTTATGAATAATTAGCTCTTGTGATTGATAATGAGCAAGCTTCAACAATTGCTATTGTACCCATGGTTTTAGCGGTCTTCAGATAGAATACACTTGAATAATATTTACCTATGGACCAGCTGCATGTGTTGACGTGGTTTTACATGCTTTATGGAATGCGCATGTACTGTAGTTTTTACAGAGCCATGTGGCTGCACAAAGCACGATTTGGTAACTGGATTAATGCAGAGGATGAACTGCTGAAGGGAATATACCGATTCAGTAGCATGTGCTGAGCACACACAACTATCCATCCATAGAAATATAGTCTGCCATCCAATCCACCAAACGTCATTTGCTTCTGAAACAGCAATTATGCCAGATGTGCATTGCAAATTGCAAGAGGCGTCGACCGGAAAACCCAACACCAACTCACAACGTGTGGTGTTGTGATCGGCAATAGAACAGAGGCATTAATTGAAAATCACCACATGTACACAGTGCATGACTAAAGGTTTGTTGAAACAAATAGGATTAGCTCCCTACTTTGTAATTATAATGTGAACAGCTGTGCCACTCAAGTGTAACGAGGGGAAATCGCGCAGTCGTGACTGAGGCAGCGTCCAAGTGGGCAAGCTGTGGAGCCGCAAACCGTGACCGCGTGCTGCGTCTACTCTTAAACGTTTCGACCTTCACTCATTTTCACCCCAGTCCACCCGACTATCAGATGGTTTAGTGATGTACCCAACTGTGGACTATGTCGACCACAGAGAACCATTGGCTCTCACTCACTCACTGACACGATTGACCGCCACGTCGTTCGAGCGCCCTCCGTGTTGGCCGATCCACCGCAGACTTCCAAGCGCCCTCAATCGAGGCTGCAAAATCTGTCTGGACCTGCCGACCCCAGTTTTGTCTGAACGGACTTGGAAGCCGTTTCCATTCGCGACTCCCCAGGTCTTGTTTAATTGTTGTCGGGGAGCAACAACGGACGTCGAGAGAGGCACGTGCCGATGTGATGACAGACATCCGAATGACAAGTCCAAACAGAGCCAGCCGCCTCGCGGCTATCGAGGCAAGGCATGTTCAGAGCCATCATCTTGTTACGTACAAAATCGAAAGAGTGAATGCCAAAGATGCAATACTGGCATTGCAAATGGAAAGCCCGTATGGTGTCTGAGTGAGTCTTCAGCAGAGTACAGGTTTCCTTCCCATACAGCATCACGGAAACAATGCAGGTGTTTTCAGTGCAACGTTTAGTTGCTAGGCTCAGCCGTTTTTGCTTCCATACATGACTGAGATGTGTCATTATGGAAGATGCAATGCTGATGTGTTGATGGATCACGGTGGAACAGTACACGGAGGAAACTCCGTCACGACTCAGATATGTAAACCTATCAGTCGGTTCCAGTGTATGGCCCAGCACGGAATTGAGGAGCAGAGCTGCAAACCTTGTTTGGAACTTATTTTTTTTTCCTAAGAGGTATGAAGGCCCATGCATTATCTGCCTGGTCAAAAAGACTTAGTGCCATGGGCCAAGAGATCTGAAGGGATAAGGTACATTCGGGGTGATTTGGCCATGGGCTGTTCACCATAGTTAAATGCAATCTCTTCAATGCTCGAAATGTTTATCCAAACTTGATGGATGACCACAGATTTTTTTAGCACATTGTTGAATTGAAATTTCTTAAATTATTATTTCAGTTATTTGTCTTAATGGATGTATGCACAGTCTTGCTGTGACAGTATTAAATTTGCAATGATGGACTCTTCTGTGCATGGCACACAAAACGTCTACAATCACTTATTTTCGTGGTTAACGCTTTAGTAGGAGATGCAATGCTTTTCTGCTGTGTAATACAAAAAGACAAAGATCCCCCATATAGCCTTAACAGACTGTTGGGGCAAGTGCTGTTAGCGAGCACCTATGAAGG